CTCACAGAAGCTAAAACACCTTGACCAAAAACAACTGGGGGAGGAACGGGTTTATTTCACTCACTGTTCTGTGGAACAGTTCATCATCAATACCTATGAGGACAGGAACTCAAGCAGGGCAGCATCCTGAAGGCAGGAGCTCATGCCCAGGCCATGGAAGAGTGCTGATTACTGACTTGCTCCTAATGGCTTGCTCAACCAGTTTTCTTTCTTTCTTTCTTTCTTTCCTTATGCTGGTTTTTTTTTGTTTGTTTGTTTTGTTTTGTTTTTTGAGACAGAGTTTCTCTGTATTGTTTTGGCGGCTGTCCTGGAATTTGCTCTGTAGACCAGGCTGGCCTCGAACTCACCAAGATCCACCTGCCTGCCTCTGCCTCCCACAGTGCTGGGATTAAAGGTATGCACCACCAAAGCCCGGCTCTTTTAATACATTTTTTTTTTTTTTTTGGTTTTTGGAGACAGGATTTCTCTGTAGCTTTGGAGGCTGTCCTGGAACTCACTCTGTAGACCAGGCTGGCCTCGAACTCACAGAGATCCGCCTGCCTCTGCCTCCCGAGTGCTGGGATTAAAGGCATGCGCCACCAACGCCCGGCTCCTTTTAATAAATTTTTAAAGATTTGTTTTATCTTTAAAATTGTGTGTGTGTGTGTGTGTGTGTGTGTGTGTATGCATTTGCGCACATAATGGCAGTGATTGGTAGAGGCCAAAGGCTTCAGAAGTCCTGGAGCTAAATTTGCAAAACAGTTTCTAGATTCCCAATGTGGGTGCTGGGAATTGAACCCGGGTCCTCTGGAAGAGAAGCCAGTGCTCTCAACTGCTGAACCATCTCTCCAGCATTGAGGCAGGTGGATTTATCTACCTGGGTCAGCTTGTTTTTCTTTTTGAGATAGGTCCTTGCTACATAGCCCTGACAGCCTTAGAACCTGAAACAATTCTCTTCCTCTGCCTCATTGCTGAGATTATAGATGTGAGTAACAATGTCTGGTTATATTTCTCTCCATTTTATTTTTTGAGATGGGTTTCATTATGTAGCTTTGGCTGGCCTCAAACTAACAAAATTCTGTCAGCTTTTGCCTCCTGAGTGCTATGAATAAAAGGTGTGAGTCCCCATGCCAGGCATGAAGTATTCTAGTATTTTTATTCCATGAGTCATCTCTCCTGCCCTCTTTAATAGCAGCTAAACTAAATCAAATAACAAAGCATCAAGCCAGGTGAGGTAGTTTGGGAGTACCTGGAAGCTGAGGCAAGAGGATTACTGCATGTTCAAGGCAGACTGGGATACGTAATGAATTCCAGGTTAGTTTGGACTACAGAGTGAAACTCTGTCACACACAAAAAGAAGGGTTGGGTACAGAGCTCTATCGGTAGAATGCTTTCCTAGTACACAGGAGGTCCTGGATTCAATCTCCAGCACTAAATAAACTGGGTGTGGCATTAAAGTTTGTAATCTCAGCTCTGTGGAGGTTTAAAAATTGAAAGCCATACTTGGCTACAAAGCAAGAATACATGTTTACTGTGCATGAATGAAGTACTGGGTATCAACTCTAGGACCACACACACACACACACACACACACACACACACACACACACACACAAGTGAAAGGCAATCACTATCTACTGTTTAGGAATTGATCTCACAGAAATGAGGACTGACAGGGTGTGGTGACTAGGGATGTCCCTCAGCTAAACTAACAGCGCACTCTAATGGATTCCTCGGAATGGGCACCTAAGGAAATGAATATGCTTCAACTTTAGTCCTTTTAGGTACAAAAGCCCCTCCACTTTAGAGAGAATAAAAATGGAACTGGGCAGTGGTGGTGCACAATTTTAATGCCAGCACTAGGGAGGCAGAGGCAGGCGAATCTCTGAGTTCAAGGTCAGTCTGGTCTACAGAGCTAGTTCCAGGACAACCAGAGATATACAGAGAAACCCTGTGTATGTATGCATATATTTACGATGCAGGAGTCGGGTATGTGAAGACAACTTTGTCGAGTCAATTCTTTCCTTTCACTTGGGTTCTGGAGATGAAACTCAGATCATCAGGCTTGGCAGCAAGGGCCCTTAGCTTCTGAGCCATCTCCCCGGCCCTGGATTGGACTTTATTTGGCTTGTGCTGTGAGCAAGACCTAAGACTCAGACACATTGGGTGCATATGTAGGGAGGATAGCTTTGAGGCTGCAGGACCTGGGTAATGGATACTATCACAGGGCTGCTGTGTACTGTGACCCATGTCCTCATCAGGTACTGCCTCCGCCATCTCCCTTCTTCAGACCTCCACTTTCTTATTGCAGAATGGGGTTAGCATTTCCCCATAAACACTTCACACTTACTCTGTGCAGGCAACTGTTCCTTTAAGGCTACACACATTTTTATTTTATTTTGTTGTTTCCTGAGACAGGGTTTCTGTGTGAATGCTGGGATTAAAGGTGTGTGTGTGTGCCACTACCATCTTGCCTAAGGCTACACTCATTTTACAGAGGAAGAAATTGAAGCCAGAGAGGTTGCCACTTGCTCACCACATAACTGTAGAATTAGGATTTGACTTTAAGTGTGGTGTTAGAAGTTGTAGTGAGGTGGGCATTGGTGAGGTGGGCATTGGTGGCTTTATTCCCAGCACTCAGGAGGCAGAGGCAGGGAGATCTCTGTGAGTTTTGAGGCCAGCATGGTCTACAAAGCTACACAGATAAACCCTGTCTTGAAAATAAAACAACAAAAAGTTGTGGTGAGAATTGAATGGGACAACAAATTAAGTAAGGAGTTTCATTCACAGTGAAAAAGAGAAAAAGGGTAGGAGAAATGGGCTTCAGCCTAGAAGTGTCCTCTGGGAAGCCAGTACTAAGAGGCACTCTCCTGGGTCTGGAGAGATGGCTCAGCGGTTAAGAGCACTGACTGTTCTTCCAGACAGCCTGAGTTCAATTCCCAGCAACCACATGGTGGCTCACAACCACCTTGAATGAGATTTGGTGCCCTCTGTTGTTGGTGGCGCATGCCTTCAATTCCAGCACTTGGGAGGCAGAGGCAGGAGGATCTCTGTGAGTTCGAGGCCAACCTGGTCTATAGAGCAAGTGCCAGGATAGGCTCCAAAGCTACACACAGAAATTCTGTCTCGAAAAACAAACATAAACAAAAAACAAACAAAAAAAAAAGAGGCACCCTCCCTCCCCCCAGGAACCAAGGAGCCTGAGTTCTACCAGAGAACTAGTTCAAGCAGTGCCTGCTGAAGCAGGAGATGTGGTAGGTGCACAGCTTCCCCAAGGTAGGGTGAGATCCATGGTGAAGGCAGTTTTTACATTCTGCTCACAGTTCATGGAACACTTGATGGCATCTGCTCGTCCCCAGGTTGTATGCCCTAATACAAGTACTAGCCACAAGGACCCTCCCTGTGTAGAACAGAAGCAACAGTCAACCTCAGGCAGGTTATATGATCTCTGGGTACTCAGTCCCTCATCCAAATCCATGACTAGCTGCTCCTCATGGCCGCAGGAAACACCATCACTTGGGCTCTGCTGCCACACTGAGGAAGCAGGGAGAACTGCAGCAATGAATGTTCCACCTGTACATCCTGATTCCTGGCTTTACTTTCTAGTTGCTTGCAATGCAGTGGCTTTCCTACTGATTTTGATCATCTTCACAACAGCCCATGGACTCCTAAGTCAGACCATGTTCATCAAGGGCCCCCAAAAGGGAACCCTACAGGATCTGGAGGTAGTTGCAAAGTTGAACTGGCAGATGGTTTTAGAGGATGTAGCTCAGTGACAGCACGCTTGCCTAGTAATACCTATCAAGTCCTTGGTTCAATTCCTAGCACGGATGAATGAATGCATCTTTAAAAAATTTAAATTAGGAGGCTGGAGCTCTTCCAGAGGTTCTGAGTTCAATTCCCAGCAACCATGGTGGCTCACAACCACCTATAATGGGCTCTAGTGCCCCTTGCTGACATGCAGACAGAACAGTATACATAATACATCTTTAAAAACTAAGATACTAGCCAGGCGTTGGTGGCGCACGCCTTTAATCCCAGCACTCGGGAGGCAGAGGCAGGCGGATCTCTGTGAGTTCAAGGCCAGCCTGGTCTACAGAGTGAGTTCCAGGACAGCTTCCAAAGCCACAGAGAAACCCTGTCTCGAAAAACCAAAAAAAAAAAAAAAACCCAAAAAACAAAAAACTAAAATACTAATATTCAACTCACATCTTTTTTTTTTTTTTTTTTTTGGTTTTACGAGACAGGGTTTCTCTGTATTGTTTTGGAGGCTGTTGGTCCAGCCCGGCCTCGAACTCACAGAGATCCACCTGCTCCTGCCTCCCGAGTGCTGGGATTAAAGGCATGTGCCACCACCGCCCGGCTAACTCACATCTTTTTAAAAAAATATTTTATTTATTATATATACAATCTTCTGCCTGCATGCCAGCAGAGGGCACCAGATCTCATTCAAGGTGGTTGCTGGGAATCGAACTCAGGACCTCTGGAAGAAGTCAGTGCTCTTAACCGACGAGCCATCTCTCCAGCCCCTCATCTTTTTTTTTTTTTTAATATTTACTTATTATGTACACAATCTTCTGCCTGCATGCCAGCAGAGGGCACTAATATTCAAAAGTAGAGATTTTCTGTTCACATTTACTACTTTCCCTGAAACCCATGATCCTCCTGCTTCAGCTTTCTGAGTGCTGGGATTGTAGGTGTACACTAGCTGCACTTAGTGTTGTCTAGGATCTATTTGCTTTGTCTGTGTATGGTGCTGGGGATTGAAGACATGCTAGGTAAGCAATCTATCCAATCCTCTGTAATACCTAGCAAACAAATAACAGCCTGATTAAAAACCAAAACCAGGGCTTGGATGGTTCTCAGCACACAGGTGGGACAGCTCTATTAATCCCAGCTCCAGGGGTTCTACCTACCTCTTCTGGCCTCCTTAGGCACCTGCACTCAAGTGCATAAGCCCACGTTCGGCATATGAAACTAAAGACTTCTTTATAAAAAGAACTCAAACAAAACAGGTGAGATTAATTTAAATAATGTATTTTATTTAACTCAGTATGTCCAAAATAGTATTTCAACATGTAATCAATATAAAGTTATCAATTATATATTTTACATTCTTTTTTCATACTAACTTCAAATTCTGGTGTGTATAAAGCATATCTCAATTGAAACTAGCCACATCTCAAGTGCTCAAAAGGCAGAGTCCAGCGGTTCCAGATTGGACAGCATAGGTCTTCTAAAACTAAGAAAGCAATGAGCTGCTGGGGGCATAGCTAACACTTACAAGGCCTAGAACTCACAAGGCCCTAGGTTTGGTGCCCAGCACTAAAGGAAAAAAAAAAAGCAAGCAATGGAGTAAATATTATGATCCAGATTAAATTTTAAGACAGTGCTGAGGCTGAGAAATTTCAATCCAATTAATACAATTTCTTTGAGGAATCAATAGGTCACAGATTTTGTAACAATTTTTGAATAGCAGTGTGGACACTAGCTGCACAGTGCCCCCCAAGGCTCTCAGGTCCTAGTTTCTGGAAGGCATACACTTACTTTTATAAGGAGTTGGGGTTAGGGTGTGGGTCAGTGGTAGAGCCCTTGCCTAGTACTAGAGAGGCATTGGGTTCTATTCCTGGCACTGCCACAAAGAGAAAGCAGGGCTATGTAGCTGTGGGCTATGTGGGTGTTCCTATACCTAAATTACAAATGTCCAATTAAGTCAGGGACAGAAAAAGTTGGGTGCAGTGGCAGAATTAATTGCAAGTTCAAGGCTAGACTGGGCTACAGTGAGACCCTGTACACACGCCGCGCGCGCGCACACACACACACACACACACACACACACACACACACACACACACACACACACACGGAGAGGGGCAGAGAGGCACTGAGAAGGATGTAGCATACAAGAGGTTATGTGACTATGGATCTAGAGTACCTGCATCTAGACTGGTTAGAACTACCCCAAGCTGCAAGAAGCAAGCAAGAATAGGCTTCCCACCAGAGCCTCAGTTTGTGTTTTCGTTTTGAAGACAGGGTCTCACTATGTAGCCACAGCTGCCCCTCCAGCTTCCTGTGCAGACCAGGCTAGTCTCAAACTTGCAATATTCCTCCTATGGCTTCTGCTGGGATTACAGACAAACACCATGCTTGACCACTTTGCTTTTTGAGACAATGTCTTGCTTTTTAGCCCAGGCTGGCACTGAACTTTTTGATCCTTCTGCTTCAGCCTCTGCTGGAATTATAGGCATGAAACACCACACCCAGCTAATTCCATTGCCTTAAGCTCTCATGTTTGAAGTAATGGTTTGGAAGCCATAGAAAACTAAGACAAACTGATAAAATGTATCTCCCTCACATGGTATTTGAATTACAACCACAGGCAGATGATGTATTCCACACTTAAACAAAAGGCCAGTCAAAAATGTTCCATGGGCAACAACTAGCTATAGAGATTTACAAGCATACTGTACATGTTATTTACACTTACAGTTAATGGGCTCTACTGCCGTCCTATCATAGAATACCTTATATGCACATAAGCATGTCATATACAGGTCTCTTTCCTACAGAGCCTGGCCTATAGGATAATTTTTCTGAACTCTCAGGCCTGTTTCTTTCTCCACACAACAGGGCGAGAGGAATGGGATGAGCTCCTGAGTGGGCAGGGGGTACCACCTGCTGTTGGAGCAACTACTACCTAACAGGAGGGTTGAGTCAGGCAGGGGCTGATGGAACAAAGCTCTTGGCCCAGTGTTACGGCTGAAACAGGCAAGATTCAGGAAATTAGGTGTAGGTTATTACTTCATGTGGATGGGGACACTATCCAAGCAGACTGAAACCTAGATCACTCGGTCAAGAGTTTCTCACATGCCTTGTTCTTCAGTCCCCATCCCTTTGCCCCTAGGGCAAGGTGCCCAAGCATGGAGTGGGTTCACCACTTCTGCAACATCATGGTTAGGATGACATCTGGTACTTCCCTCTCAGTTCCATCGTCACCCCAACACATTGCACAGATCACACAGAGGCCCTGGCCCTTCTTGACAGAGCACTGTTTTCCAAAATGTGCTGGTTAGTCATTCTATAGGCAAAGAAACAACTTGACCAAGATTCCACAGCGGCAATTTGACCAAACTGGCTCAGATCACTGGAGCAGAGCCGGGTAAACAGAAATGGTTTACCTGGGATCCACATCATTAGGGATCCCAATAGACTAAAGTCCACTGAGGCCCAGCCTCATCCTATCCCTATCTGCTTTGTCTACCAAGGTTCAAGTTAGGGAGCTCAAGAACCTGGGTACTGAATACACAAGAATTGTCATATCCTCTACCAGAGCTCCCCTCTCTCCACCCCCAGATCCACTTGTGACATCTGCACTGGCCTGCAGCTTCTCTTAACATGCCAGAAGAGGGTGTAGTTTCTAGAACTCAACAAGTGTGTCCTTGGTCACCATGGTTTATGAAGGCCATCCTCCTTGAAGGGGAGAGGGCAGTGGACAAGGGCAAGACCACCTTTAGCCATCAATCAAGAGGGCCAGGGGCAGTGGCCACTGTCTTCAGAGCACTGGTAGGCAATAAATTCAATTTCTCCAAATCCAGTTGGAAAGTTAAGAAAATAAATTAAGGGACAAACCAAGGTCAGGCTTTCTCTTACCACAGCATCAGACAATTGTTTCAAAATATATTAGATTTGTTTTTTTATTGTAGAGCACACACATATTAGGGCAAAGTGCTGCACACACAACTACAAATCATTTTTGGGGAGAGCAGTAAAAAAAACAAAACAAAACAAAAAAAAAAAAACAAAAACCAAACCAAAACCAAACCAAAACCAAAAACAACCCAAAAGCACAGAAGACCTGCAACTGCTTTAATTATGCAGTCTCAACTTGAGGGCTCCACATTGGCAAAGATTTCTGACCCCAAAGAGGGATTTCCTGATGGCTGGCTGTCCCCACATCTCTGCAGCCAGAGGCCCGAGGTCAGGCCTCTGTGCACCTTTGGAGTTGTGGTGGCATGTTGCTCAGAAGGCCTGTTTTTGGCAGACCCAATCCTTGTCTGGCTGCCAAAGACATTCCTAATGAACCTGGATCAGCAAAACCCCACAGCTTTCCAGGATCTGAGCAGGCAGAAACTGTCAAAGACTTTAACTTTTTATTATTTTTATAAGTTCCTTTCCCAGCACCCATGGCCCTGAGGCAGAGAAAGTACCAACCCAATATGCAGGTCTAACTTCTGGCCTTGGATATAAGCTATAGATGGACAAGAGAGGACACGCCTTCTTAGATAGACAATATGGGGGCAAAAAAGAACCAAGATGGCCAAATGAGGAGAAAAAAGGAAAAAGCTAAGAGACTAATGGGAGGGGAAACACCTCAGAACAAAAGAAACAAAGTCCTACCACACCCCAAGTTCCCATAACCCAAATGTTAGATTGGAAGCAAATCAACTCCTCTAGCTAGAAACAATTCCTACAAATGACCCACTGCAGCAACCCCTAGCTAGAAACAATTCCTACAAATGACCCACTGCAGAAAATCTAACTGTTCCATACAACCACACATATATGCCTAAAACGAGTAACCCAGCAAATGGGCATGCTCTTGGCAAGAGGTCAGGGCCACTGTGCTAGTCTCTTGACCACCCAGGACCGGTGGACAGAGCAAGCTGGAGGGCATGCAGGAAGCCTGGGGACTCAGAAATGGGATGGCAGGGGCTGGTATGGTTTAAGCCCCACACCCAGCCAACCTGAACAGTGAGGAACAGGGTATTTGCATGAGCTTCCAGAGTCTGGACAGCAGGTGAGATGTAGGGGCAGCAGGCCCAATGCAGGACCTGTATGGCTCCAAGAGACCTCATCCAAGCATGAGCGTCAGTGGAAGAAAAGGACTGGCAAAAGAATCGCCTTTGTTGAAATTTAAAACACTGCAAAGTTTACATTTAAAGCCCAAACAAGATTTCCTTAACCAAAGCATTTTGTGTGTTTAAATAAACCTAGTCTGACACATTTCCACTTGAAGACAGCTATCCCCACTGTCTTGACTGGCTACTCTGGTATGAGTGTTCCCCTACAGAAGCTAACAGCCTTTTCCATCAAGGAGGAAAGTCAAGAACATAAGAACCCAGGTCTTGAGCCAATTCTGTTCTTTAGCCTTAATAGGCAACAAAGGAAGGAAAACATATACAGGACCAAAATAACAAACAAAGAAAAAAACACTCAAATGAAACAGAAGATGGGGCAGCTACATCAGGATTAGCCAGAGTTCCAGGAGGGCACAGGGACTCAGTGTCTCCGCATCTTCACCTTGCGGGTGGGGCTGCCGGCTCCCTCTGGGCAATCGTCTGAGGACTCATAGGACTTGCGCCAATAGTTCTCAGAGCTAAAGCTACCCCTCCGCCGGTGTGTGGGTAGAAGCACAGACCTCCGGTTTTCTTCTTTGTCCATCTCCAGGATCCGGGGTCTGCAAACAATGGGGACAAACTGTTACTTAAGAAGTCAGGAGTTGTTTAATCTTGCCACCACTGTAGGGGACTCAGAAGCACCCCCATCCTAGGATTGGGTTATTTTTCTTCTCAATTCAGATGCACTAATAGTGGTGGGGCCTCCCCACTAAGTGACAGTGTCTTAGGGCTGTCTCTTAGTCACCTGTGCAGTCTACTTATTTCTGACTGTAGTGCTCAGTACCAGCCATGTCTGCTGGGTATCTCTACTTCCCATCTCTCCTGTTCATAATCATCCCTGCAAACCTTGCAACCCATCGTCTCTAAAATCACTACGCTCTTTTCTACCTTAGAACTTCAGTTCTTACAGAACATCTCTCCTAGAATGCCCTTCCACACAGCTTTCTCATCCTTCTGGTATCATTTTAAACATTACCCTTCCAGAAACCCTCTCCAAGAAATCCCTGGTTCACTTCTAAGTGCCAAGATGCTCTCTTACAACCCCAGGCTCTTTCAGACAGACCATCAACTGCACTGCAGGCTGTTGAGGGCTCTAAGCACCTGTGGGCAGCATCAGGGTCTGCCTTGCGGTGGGACCTTTTGGGTTTCAGCACAGGGTCTCTGCTGTTTCCTGACAGGCGATCTGAAGCATAGTTGGGTGGCAATGTGGAGCTGCTCAGGGATTTTGTTTCCAAACGCGGTGCATCTAATCTTGTCCTGCAAGGGAAACACAAACAGGGTCTCAAAAGAGCTTCTGGTGAAGTAATAAGCCCCATCGGAACAGACGTTATCTCCAGTGAAGACTGGGTTGGCATGCAAACTAGCAGTCTGTGTTCTATGCCTTGGTCTCTTCGTGGTTCTAATAGAGATTGGTCTAGTGACTTCCAGAGAATGTCACTTCTATTTGGAGAGCTCCAATGTGTGCTATGCACGCAGACAGACCCAGGGCGCTCTCAGCCATAGAAGGCAGCATTTGTGTTTTTGGATTTTCAAAACAGAGTTTCTCTGTGTAACAGTCCTAGCTACCTGGAACTTGCTTTGTAGACCAAGCTGGCCTTCAACTCACATAAATCCACCTGCCTCTGCCTCCAAAATGCTGGGATTAAAGGCATGTACCACCACTGCCTGGTTGAAGGCAGCAGCTCTTAACCCAATCTGCCAGTGAATTGTGGGTATACCTCAATAGATGCTCTCATCCCTGCCAGGAATACAAACACAGGGAGGGTTTTGCCCCAGGTCTACAGAAGAGGTGGGGAAAAGCAGAATCACCTTACTTTCTCATAAATGCAAGGTCAGAAGGCTAAGTGGCAGAGCCAGGAAATGGAGAAAAGCCTAGCCTACTCCACACCCCTGCCATACTCATGTAAGCAGTGGCCCTTTGGGGAATGTTAAACAAGCAGAGAACAAAAGGGCTTCTTTTTAATATCAATATATAATAACACATATAATATATGTCATACCATGTTTTTATTATGTATAATATGTAAATAATATTATATTTAATTATGTATATGTATGCATGTTGTGGGGGTATATGCAGGTATCCATGGAGGCCAGAGAAATGGGATCCCATCAAGGTGTATAAGGCAGAGGTAGTGTTCACTGTGATGGAGCAGAGCTGCCTGGGGGTAGCATAATACCAGGAGAGAGGGAACCAGTTCACATTTACTATGCTCCAGAGATGACAAGGGTATCTGTGAGGCAATAGCTAAGGCATGGTTAAAGCTAGGGAAACTCATACTCTCCTGAGGAATGGAGTGGAACACATCCACCATACCCACACTCTGTTCATCCTTTCACTAACTAGGGTGAGAGTCTGGCAGACCTCTGACTCCAATGGTTAAAACAGCAGTTGAGCTCAGGCTCCTATAACCTGTCATATGTGAATCCCACATCCTACTGCTCTCAGTGGCTTCCTATAGCCGTCCAGGTTTGTATCAATCTCCACCTCATTTCTAGTCTGTTCCAGTATAACGGATACCTCAGACCTTGCGTTCCCTCTTTTTGTGGTGCCATGAATGGAACTTCAGACATGCTAAGCAAGCCTCTAGAATGGAGCTATATCTCTAGGCCAAAGAGCACCTCTCCAGCCAAACTACCTCAGAACCTGAGACCCTTCTGTTCTTGGATAAGGCCCAATCATTTGAGTACCTCAGGCAAATCTCTATAAAGACTTTCTCGACTTGCCCCTCCCTGGTGAGCATTCAGTGGCTAACTTCCCCAAAGGATACACAGACATAGAGATCACTGAGGAGTGACCCGAGAGGTCACAGACATGGTAAATTGTTACTTCCAGATTACAGACAGTGGACAACAGAAGGAAAACCATAAGAAACAGTTCAGAAGAAGTTTGATGCATGAGAGCTGAGGGATCCATGGGCTCACAAGAAGGGTTGGAGAGCGGCTTCAAGCCGTGCATGCCTTTAGCCAGGCGTTGGTGGCGCACGCCTTTAATCCCAGCACTCGGGAGGCAGAGGCAGGCGGATCTCGGTGAGTTTGAGGCCAGCCTGGTCTACAAAGTGAGTTCCAGGACAGCCTCCAAAACAATACAGAGAAACCCTGTCTCGAAAAACCAAAAAATAAATAAATAAATAAAAGGTTCAAATGGGGATTTGCTGCTTTTGCAGTAGCTGTAGGAGTTGAATATTTCCCTACTTCCCAAAATGTTAAAAAGCATCACTGAAGACAACACCTGAAATTATTTTGTGACTTTGCATTCATAAAGATTTTTTTACTCTAGTATCCTTAGCTGTATTTGTCCTTGAAAGAGTATTAGTATAATTTAATAAAGGAAGAGACAGAGAGAGAGGCGGGAGGTGGTGTGGGGGTGGCAGGTATAGTTCAGTGGTAAAGCCTTGTCCCATTCATAAAAACAAGTCAAATCATACCAACAATACTCCTAGCACTAGTACAGAACCCAGAACATACTAACCTTAGCTAACTAATATTTGCACTCCTAATCCTACTTTATCAAAAGTGGCCTATTTATACTGCCATGTCTCACTTCACCTACTTCACCTAGTTCAATGGACAACGCCATCTCAGGAATGCAAGTATTGTAAACAGACCCAGTAGAGCCCTGAAAGCCTCCTAGAGGATCAAGACCTGAAAAGCCTTGCAAGTTATCTCTTGAGGCACCAATGTTGATCTAAGCTCTTCCTTAACCCTTCCATCTGCACCAGTTAGTCTGCTAAACTTGCAGTCTTCCAGCCACTGAACACAAGCCTTCCCCGATTCTCCCACTAAAGTGGACATGATTAAATTTTGATTTTCTTTCTGGTGGGTCCTCAGGGGACATACTCTGTGCTTTTCTAACAGTGTGCCCTTTGCTTTGTGCTGTAATGGCATGCAAAAATAGAAAGAACTATGGGTGTCTTATGGTACTTATCTTGGATGCCCATATACAATAAAAAACATTAGGTAACAAGCCAGAATCCCTGCTAAAAAATCAGCCCAAGCAACTCATTTCCTGACTGAAGCCCCCTTCCAGAGTCACACCTCCTATTCTCAGTGTTAATATGTGACCATGTGGCAGCAAGTCAGGTCTTCCAGGGGAAGGAACACTAGGGTGCACAGCAGGAAATCATACAGACACTAGAACCCCCATTCACTACTACCATGTTCACGAACTAATTACCTCACCCCTGAAGTTAATTAGCCTCTTGGTCATTTAACCAGTACTTGAACCCTTCAACTACCATCCAAAAAGAGGTTGGTTGGGTCCAGTTTTTCTCCAGGAGTACCAACGACCACAATATTCAGGGACACTGCTGGATACAGGCACTTTTAAGGACATGCCACTTCATTACATTCACTATCAGGTAGCTCACGCTCCCCCCATGTTTATAATTCCCCCCCTCCAGGGTCTCACTCTATGTAGACCTGTCCTAGAATTTGCTATGTAAACCTGGCTGGCCTCAATCTCAGAGATCCCAAGTACTGCAATAAAAAATGTATTTGTTGTTGGGCAGTGGTGGCACATGCCTTTAATCCCAGCACTTGAAAGGCAGAGGCAGGCAGATCTCTGTGAGTTCGAGACCAGCCTGGTCTACAGAGTGAGTTCCAGGACAGCCTCCAAAGCCACAGAGAAACCCTGTGTGTGTGTGGGGGGGGGAAATGTGCCTAAAGAATCCAGAAGACAGTGTCAGATCCCCTGGAACTGGAATTACAGATGGTTGTGAGCCACCATCTGAGTGCTGAGAACAGAAGCCAGTTCATCAGGAAGAATAGCCAGGGCTCTTAATTGATGAGCAAACTCTCACAGGCCCCCTTTAAAGATTTAATTTTTAATTTATTTTTAGGTAGATGTGGTGTGCACATTTAATCCCAGAACTGGATCAGTTAAGGCTACACAGTAAGACTGTCCCAAAATAAGTGTGTGTACGTGTGTGTGTTTGTGTACATACACGTGTTTACCTGCATGTAGAAGACCATGGAGGCCATAAGAATGTGTTGGAGCCACTGCAGCTGAGATATAGACAGTTATGAGCTGCCCAGTATGGATCTAGGAATTTAATCCAGTTCCTCTCGAAGAATAGCCAAGTACTCTTAATCACTGAGCTTGTTTCTTTTTTCTTTTTCTTTTCTTTTCTTTTTTTGAGACAGGGTTTCTCTGTGGCTTTGGAGGCTGTCTTGGAACTAGCTCTTGTAGATCAGGCTTATCTCGAAGAACTCACGGAGATCTGCCTGCCTCTGCCTCCTGAGTGCTGGGATTAAAGGCATGTGCCACCAACGTCCGGCCCCTCCTTCCTTCCTTCCTTCCTTCCTTCCTTCCTTCCTTCCTTCCTTCCTTCCTTCCTTCCTTCTGTATACAGTGTTCTGCCTGCATGCCAGAAGAGTGCACTAGAACTCATTATAGATGGTTGTGAGCCACCATGTGGTTGCTGGGAATTGAACTCAGAATTCTGGAAGTGCTCTTAACCTCTGAGCCATCTCTCCAGCCTCTGAGCCTGTTTCTTAACTCAAGCATATACCCCAGTGACACACTGGCAGGGAGGTGGGTGAAGGCAGGGTCTAGAGTGCTCCACTATGAAAACTACCAACAAGCCAGGAGGCCTGGGTTCAAGATCTCACTCAACCAATTTTTAATGATTTGAGCTAGTGGTCAGAGTTACCAGGAGTTTTAATTTTTATATGAACGTTAGGCAAGACTGCCATCAAGAAAGACATCTAATGTGAGCATGGTGGCACGTGCCTTTAATACCAGCATTGGGCAGGCAGAGGCAAGTGTATCTCTGTGAGTTACAGGCCAGCCTGGTCTACAGATTAAGTTCCAAGACAGTTAGGGTTATTACACAGAGAAACCTTGTCCGGAAAAATAAAATACAGACAGACATCCATGTATTCATGTCAATCCTTAGATTACTCTAGGTTGGCTGATGTTCACCATCAATGGTGCAAGTTATTTAGTATACAATTTCTTTTTTTCTTTTTTTGGTTTTTCAAGACAGGGTTTCTCTGTATTGTTTTGGAGGCTGTCCTGGAATCGGCTCTGTAGACCAGGCTGGCCTCGAACTCAGAGATCTGCCTGCCTCTGCCTCCCGAGTGCTGGGATTAAAGGTGTGCGCCACCAACACCCGGCTAACTTTTGATAGGTGGTAAAAAAAATAGCACTTTGTTTCTGTGGACTTTTTCACAAAAACATAAGCCCAGTTCAAGTATAAGAAAAATCAAGCAAATCCTACAACAACATTCTTTTGGTTGTTTTTTGAGACAGAGTTTCTCTATGTAACATTCTTAGCTGCCCTGAAATCCATTTTGTAGACCAGGCTGGCCTCAAACTCAGATATCTGCCTAGGTCTGCCTCCCAAGTGCTGGGATTAAAGGCATATGCCACCATGCCCAGTTTTGCAATATTCTATAAAATATCCAACCAATTAAGTCTGCGTTATAGCCAACAGGAGTAAAGTGACATGACAACTAGATAAAACATAGGATACATCTTGGATAAAAACAGACACATGAAAAAAAATTAAGTAAACCTAAGTGTGACGATTAATCTCAATCATCATTTTATTGAGATATAGAATCACCTGGGAGATGATCCTTTGGGCATGGAGGCTTATAGAGGATTATCTTGATTGAGTTAAGAAGACCTGCCCATTGTGGGTGGCACCATTCCCTTGGCTGAGATACTGGATTGCATAAAAAAGATGAAAGTGAGCTGAACACAATCATTCATTGCTCTCTGCTTCTTACTCTATATGAAATGTGACTAGTTACCTAAATCTACCACTAGGACTTCCTCACCACGAAGGTCCATATCCTGGAACTACGATCTGACATTAATTCTTTCTCTTTTAAGTTACTTTTGTCAAGGAATTTCATTACAGAAACAGGAAAACCAAAGCACCAGCCAGGCATGCTAACAAAGTGCTTTATTGCTGGGCTACATTTCCAACCACAACTGATTTCCTTTCTTTTGCTGTTTGTTTTTAGAGAAAGGATCTTGCTGAATTGCCAGGCTGGTTTCCAACCCTAGACTCAAGTGATCTGTTCAGATTTCCAAGAAGTTGAGACTACAGGCATATGCCACCATGTTGAAAATTTCTGGTAGACAGTAGTACTGGCATCTCTCTCTGTACATGTGAATTTAACTCTGGGCCTGGATTGCCAGGTAAACTCTATCACTGAATTATATCCTAAGCACAGCATTCTTACTTTTTAGTTTGAGACAAGGTCTCACAAACATGCTTTCTGTAGCTTAGGCAGATTATACATTTATAATCTTCCTGCTTCAGCATTGGTCTCTTAACTATAACAAATATATCTCACTAAATTTAAGGTATCAATAATAAAAGAAATGGAATACAGGGTACATGGAAATTCTAATAGTCTCACAATGTTCTATAAATAAAAAAATATTTGTGTAACCCTGACTGTCCTAGAACCTGCTCTGTAGACCAGGCTGGCCTCGAACTTACAGAGATTCTCTTGTCTCTGCTTCCTTAGTGCTGGGATTAAAGGCATGTGTCACCACCACCCAGCTGCTGCTTTTCTAGTTCTTTGAATGCCACTGGTTTTTAATTTTTGGTGGTGGATAAACACATAAAAAACATAATCCAATAGTAAAAATATAACCCAGTGTGAAGCCCCACAGCTTCTGTTCTGAATGCCTATTCTAACTGTATAGATGTTCATTGCCTTGTACTGTCTTCAGACCTGGCTGAAGGTCAAGAGTGTTGGATCCACTGTGACTGCAATAACAGATGGATGTGAGCACCATCTAGGTTCTGGAAATCCAAACCTGGTCTTATGGATGAGTAGTCAGTGCTCCTAACCAATGAACCAACTCTCTAGTATTTTTGAGACAGGGTCTCTCCATGTAGTCCTGGCTGTCCTGGAGCTATGTAAACCAGGCTAGCTTTGAGCTCAGAAATCCACCTGCCTCTGTACCATCACACTTAATTTACATGGGGGGGGTTCAAGACAGGGTTTCTCTATGGCTTTGGAGCTGTCCTGGAACTAGCTCTTGTGGACCAGGATGGTCTGGAACTCAGAGATTGCCTGCCTCTACCTCCCGGGATTAAAAGCATGTGCCAACACCCGGCCAGGCTGGTGGATCTTAAGAATTTGAGACCAGCCTGGTCTACATAGTGAACTCCAGGCCAGTCAGAGCAACATTGTAAGAATCATCTAAAACAAAAACACCAAAACCAAAAGAAAGAAAGCACAAGCCTTATGTAGTAGCCCAGGTGGCCTTAAACTCCTCTCCAACCTCCACTTCCTTCTTAGGTGTCAACATTTCAGGAGTACCTCACTATGCTTGACTAACTTTCCTTTTCCCCCATAGCTAAGGGCCAGCTAAATATTACATCCTAACTCCCACTCTTGTCACCTCTCCTCATTCCTAGCTCCTTCTAGAAGTGAAAGTCTAGTCATTTTTAAAGTAGGCTGCTATGGCACAGTCTAAAAATAATCACTAAAAGCACACGTGACAAGTCAGAACGGACGTGTGGGTGCCCGTGCACATGTACATGTGTGTTAGAAAAGTAGCCCCCCGCCCATATCTGGTTTCAAGATTGTGCTCAAAAGGACTAGGGATAATTCAGGAGTTAGAACATGCACTATTGCAGAGAACCCGAGTTTGGTTCTTTTTTTTTTTTTTTGGTTTTTACAAGACAGGGTTTCTCTGTATTGTTTTGGAGGCTGTCGGTCCAGCCTGGCCTTGAACTCACAGAGATCCGCCTGCCTCTGCCTCCCGAGTGCTGGCCGAGTTTGGTTCTTAGTATCCATATCTGATGGCTTACAGCTACTTGGAACTCTAGCTCCAGGGAATCTGACCCCTTCTTCTGAACTCCAGACACACACACACACACACACACACACACACACACACATATATATATCACTCACATATATAATTAAAAGTAAAATAAGCTTAGGCAGTGGTAGTGCACACCTTTAATCCTAGTACTCAGGAGGCAGAGGCAGGCAGGTCTCTGTGAGTCTGAGGCCAGCCTGGTCTACTGAACAAGTTCCAGGACAGCCAGGGCTGACGGGGGAAGTCCTGTGTATATGTCAATAAAGCACTGTTGGCCAATAGGGAAGCAAGATAGGTGGGATTAGGAGCCGAGGAGTACTCTGGGAAGGAGAAACACAGGAAGTCAAGATGTAGCTGCATAGGGATAAGAAGCCTGGAAAGTTCTCCGGTAAGAGAAATACTTAGATTAACAATCATGGGATAAATACTTAAGTCAGAGCTAGCTAGTAAGAAACAAGCAAGGCCAACATAATTAATATAGCCTCCTGTGTGTTTATTTGGGACTGATGAGGCTCTGGAACCAGGCTGGTGGGAAGGCTTCTCTTTACACAGGGTTACACAGAGAAACCCTGTCTCAAACAGCCACACCCCTGACCCTTCAAAAAAAAAAAAGTTTAAAAGAAAAAAAGAGTGTGCCAATACATTAATACATTTCAGGAGCACATCTCTGCTCAACACTGAACTCCCTAAACAGTCTTAAGGATGTAAATTAAGAGAATTTCTGCTCCCCTAGATTACACAGTGGCATGCAAGAAGTAGAGTGGTAAGTTGGAGGATTCAGACAGGCCTGTAGTTAAGGCAGAGGATGTCAGACATGAAGGTACTTACTTCCTGAGAATGATGACCGCTCGGCGTTCTTTAATGTCCTGAGGCCGTATGCAGTGAGTGATTTCATCAGCAGCATATCCACTAGAAAGGAACAGAACTAGTAAGAGAGTAGGCAAACAACCAAAGCTCATAGGGGACAGGAATAGAACTAAACCTCATGGCTGCCCTCTGAGAAGTTCAAGAATCTACATGGGAAGGAAATATCATGTTTAAGCTCTAAGGAGAGTCGGCCTAGAAACCATTAAAGGTAAAACTTGGCAAAGAAGATTCACAGGTCACTTAAGACAAAGTCTGAAGCAGGACACTCCTAGTATAGACTAGAATACCTTTTGTTCACAGCTCTTGAGGTAGGGTGTAGTGCAGAAAAGTACTTTCCTGACACATGTGAGGCTCTGGGTTCAATCCCAGCACCAAAACAAATATAAAAACAAAGAAACGCTGGAGGAAACTAGAACAAAGGTGAAAGTCCTTGGTGAAAAGAGAGAAACCTGCCCCAAGCCATGTATACAGAGGAAGCTGAGATAGCCACAGACAACACAGAAATATAGGGATCACTAATTCCCAACACAGAACTTTCCTACTTGGAAAAAATTTTTTTTCAAAAGGCTCCTTTGGAGAGATCCAAAATTTTGCTAACTATGTTTGGGATATTTTATGAATTTCCATCATAACGAAATTTCTACTTAAAAGTTACATGATTTTAAAACTACTTAAAGGCTAACAAATGGGGTTAAGATGACTATTCTCAGCTGGCATCCCTCTGATTTGAAGTTCTAGGAATAATGGAGCCCATCACATGTTCTTAATGAGCACCCCAAGAGATAAGATACTCCCACTCCAAGCTACTCCACTGAGTTGCAGAGATCTACACAGCAAGACACCTGCCCAGCCAGGTAGCAGGACTAAAGAAGAGCTTGCCTCTGAGCTATCCCATTAAAGATTTCTAGCTGCCCCTGGGCCATACTCTTGTTTTTGTTTTTCAAGACAGAGTTTCTCTGTGTGTGGCACTGCTGTCCTGGAACTCACAACTCTGTAAGGCAGGCTGGCCTTAGCCTTCCTACCCATGCTGGGACTAAAGGCCTGCACTACTGTGCCTGGCGCATACACCCTTTTCTCATGGCTGCTCATCAGTTCCTTCTCCAGTGCAGTTGTACGGATAATACATGTTTAAACTACCTGAAACACCAAAGATCTGGAAATGACTTCTTAAGGGCTAGGTTGTTCTAAGAGCAATGCTGAATTCAAAAAGCCAATTAGAAATACAAAGCCAAACTGTTTTAGGGTCAGCCCTTAGAACAGTGGTTCACAACCTCCCTAATGCTGCAACCCCTAATACAGTTCCTTATGTTGCAGTGACCTCTACTGATTCAATTATTTCATTGCTACTTCATAACTGTAATTTGCTGTTATGAATTGTAACGTAAATATCCAATGGTCTAGGTGACCCCACTGAAACTGGTAGTTCAACCCCCAGCTTGAGAACCACTGCTGGAGCTAGTAGGAGCCCTTTGACTCTAAACTGACAGCTGGGGAACCTACACAGGACCGAACTAGGCCCCCTGAATGCAGGTGACAATGATGACTTGGGCAGTTTGTGGGGCCACTGGCAGCAGGACCAGGATCTATCCCTAGTGCATGAAATGCCTTTTTGGAGACCAATTCCTATGGATATATATATATATATATCTCAACATGGTGATGGGGAAGATTTTGTTGACTCCCCATGGGAGGCCTTCCCCTCTCTAAGGAACAGATAGTGGGTAGGGCGAGGGGAAGGCAGAGGAAGTGGGAGAAGGGGAAGGAGGGGGACCAGGGATTGGAATGTAAAGTAAAAGAAAAAAGAAATCTGTTTCAAAAGCACTCAGGTGGCAAGGCAGGTGGATCTCTTGAAGTTTTAGGTCAGACTAGTCTCCACAGCAAATTCCAGGACAGTCAGGGTTACACAGAGAGGTGCCCACCTCTCGGTTCTGGTTGAATTCACGTTGTAGATAGAACAAGCCTATTGATAAATGCCTTCCTTATCTGTTCCTAGTGTGTGTGTGCGCGCGCGTGCGTGCGTGCGTGCATGCGTATGTGTGTGTGTGAGAGAGAGAGAGATTATTATCCTCAAAAGAGACTAACAAATATCCATAAACCAAATCAAGTTGGAAAATACTAATTAAGAGTTCCAATTACTATAGCAAAAGAATCTACTGACTTTAACTGCGCACTGACCAAAGAAAACACTCTTCATCCCTATTAAAAACTGTGAGCCCACAGAGAAGTGCCACATAGGAGGAGTTACAGAGAACTTAGGCTCAAATTCAGACTTTGAGCTACAAGCTTTTTTGTTTGAGACAGGGTCCCTCTATACAGGTCTGGATGTCCCGAATGAAATTCACTATGTATACCAAGTTGTCCTTAAACTCAGAGGACCTGCCTCTGCCTCCTGAGTATTGGGATTAAATGTGTGCACCATCATGCCCCACCAAGCTACAAGTTTTGTGACCCGAGTTAAGTCACATGCTTAACAGTAGATTATTCTTCAGTGTTCATTCTGTTATGCTCTATAATTTAGATACTTATATATATGTTTGTCATTATTAAAGACTCAATATGTTAAAAGGCAGACAGACACCACGTCCCTTCAAGGCAGAATCAAGAGTTAGACCATTTACATGAACAGAAACCTCTGGCAAGGGAGCAGTGAGAGACCTATCTAAGGGTTGAAAATGATGCTGGAAAACTTAAGAATGCCTTGGACCCTCCTACCATTTGCTAAGCATCTGGCACTGCTAAAGAGCCTAGACTACTTAGCAAGCCAGAGCCTCGAGTTCAGCTCCTGTAGAAGAAACACAATCTTTGACTCTGTACAGGGTTCTACGTTCTACACTAGCAAGGGCCTTCTGGCCCTATTCCTAGTCTAGGAGCTAGCTCTTGTCTCATTTTTTTTTTCCCCATTTTGACTTTTAAGACAAGGCCTCTTGCCTGGCAGTGGTGGCACACGCATTTAATCCCAGCACTCTGGAGGCAGAGGCAGGTGGATCTCTGTGAGTTCAAGACCATCCTGGTCTGCAAGAGCTAGTTCCAGAACAGCCTCCAAAACCAGAGAAATCCTGCCTCGAAAATTAAAAAAAAAAGACAAGGCCTCTCACTCTGTAACCCAAGTAGGCCAGTAACTATGTAGTCCAGACTGGCCCCAAATCCACAGCAATCCCCCCACCTCAGTCTCTTGAATACTGATATTACAGGTGTGAGTCATGTTATTATCATTTTATATGAGTGACTAGAGACTGAGCTGCAAGGTAGTCCTACATACTATAAATACACACATCTTCTCAAAAGAGCTAAGTCTAATAGCACATCTCAAAGGCCTGAATCTGCAGTGCCAGCTACATGTAAAGTTCCTTAATATTAACAAATATTATGCTTTATTTGGCTATTGTAAGTATGACCAAGGACCACGACTTCTTATTTCCAACAAGAAACGACTTCTCTTAATGTAGCTCTGGAACAAATCCAGACTGTCAAAGCTTGACTGCTTTAATTTTCCCTGCCCCATCCTCCAAAGGGTTATAAAACAAACAAGCCATGCCAGGTTCCTGCCCTAAGCCCAGGTCTCCCTCACAACTACTATTAAGGGAGCACTACACTGAACCACAGAAATGACCTTGACATACCAACCCTATATTTAAGTCTTATTAACACCAGTATTCTAGAATTTCCTGTTATCTGTGACAGCCCACTGTTTTTTTTCCTCCGTGGAAGAAGGAACCCAAAAAGTTTTAACAGAAGTTTTCCTAGCTGGAAAATGCCCAGCCAAGATCACAAAGAGTGCTTTTTACTGCTAAGAACCCTACTTGCTAAGGAGACATTGAAAATCTCACTCTGCCAGTCTCAAATGTAATATGCCCTGGGTTCAGTTCTACCCTTAATGTGAAAGGAAAGTTCTATAGCCACCTACTCCTGTTTTCACAGGAAAAGTAAATGAACACCTTATCCTGTCTAGCTAGTCCGCTCTCTGCCTGGGCTAAGCCCCCATGCACAGCAATAATGCTTACTATGCCAACCATAACCATCAAGTGACATGACCTAGCTCTGTCACTCATTAATCCTATACCTTAGAATTGAGGGAGCCGACATACCTGTCTCCTCTCTCCAGGTAAGATTTCCCTAAGCCTCCTGCCCCAAAATTGTATCTCTTCTAAGACAACATTCTGTTCAAAAACCTTACTCAACTCTGCATAGTGGACAAAAAATTAAATGTGTACTAATACTCTATACCAAAAAAAGTCTATGACTTTGAAGCCTCTTTTTTAAGACCATCAAAACAGACTGCAACAAGTCTTTCCTTAGAGGACTATACACAAATGAGTCTGGAAAACCATTACTAAGGAAATATGCAGGACTATGAAAGTCTCTTCTGGGGACAGCCTTAGAGATAGAGTTGATAAGGCTCAGCTCCATCATGGCCACCATTCCCCATCTGTTCCATGTCTTGCCTAGGTAGGGGCAGACCAAAGATGGATTAACTGGACAAGGTCACATTCTAATGCTAGCCTCCCTTTGATGGGCTATTTTCCCTAGGCAGCCCCCTTGAACCTGCCTCATCATTGGTAGACTTGCAGGAGAAGGAAGCTAAAGGCTAGGGTTGTGGCAGGAGCCACTGGTACACAGGTAGGACTGTGATCTCAAGTCTCTAGGAAAAGAAAGTCTTGGGGCCTTTTAGACACTGATATATCCCAATTCTGTATACACCAAAAAGTACTGACAGCGGCTCATCTCTTGAGACATCTTTAACAAACTTCAAGAATTCAGCCATATAACTTAGATTCAATCTTTTCCGACAACCCTAAAGCATCATTGGTTTCCTTTTTAGCAAGAGAAAAACAGGACCATTAAGTTCATGGCTGGTGTGCACACACCTCCCAGCACTCACACTAGAGAGGCAGAGGCAGGTCATCTGTCAGTTTCCTAGCATACAGAAGAGAATTCTAAGCCATCCAGAGCTATACAGTGACATCCCCGCCTCAAAAACAAATAAAATTTGCTGATGTTCAAACAGCTTAGTGATGCTGAAACTTCTACCAAGTTTGCATGATCTTTTGTTTCTGGTAGCCGACTATGTTAGTAAGTAACAAGCAAAAGCAGAAAATCCCATCTGTGTTTCTTGGTAACAGGGTTTAATTTGTCATGGGGCCTTGCTGGCCTCAAAGAATATGGGAATAAGTACCAGTCCTATGAAATAGGGAGGGTTGTATCGCACTGAATATTGCTCACTAACTGCTCAAGCTAAAATGGCCAGTCAGCCAGCTCTGAGATTTTTGTGGCCTGTTTATTCTTTGCTTGCTGTGAGTTTCCTGTTTGAGATCACGGCTCCCAGCTAGCTGCTTCTCCTTTGCTACTTTCTGCCTTTGTCAGGCCTGGCAACACAAAGGGAAGCCAATTTCAACAACCAATAGCCCTTCCAGGGAGTGTACAGCCCTGAAACAGGAAAATTTCAAACGGGCAAGTGAGATGGCTTAGTGGACAACCGTTCTTTCTGCCAAGACTGACTTCCTGAGTTTGATACTAGGGACCCACAGGGAGAGTCAACTCCCACAAGCTGTCCTCTGATGTACCATAAACACATATGCATGCACACACAGAAATAAATGCACATGATGAAAAAAAATTCAAACAAGAGGTGCAGTCCAGGACCTTTCCCAACTATTTTAAGCCACAAAGCTAAATTTTGTTTTCCATCAGCCAAACCAAGATCAGCTATTAGCATTAGCCCGAAACTTACGGGATGCTCGACTGCTTGATTCCCCCAATACTAGTAACCAGAAGAGTCAAAGACTAAGCTCACAATGGATGGCTAGGTGAAGCAGTCATATTCTACTGGTGGCCAAAACCCAGGTCTCTGGAAAGGACTACAAAGAAGTGATTAAGGAAAACAGTTCAAAAGCAGTTAGCCTTGAGGTGATTATTCTAACAACTGGAGCCTGTTGTTTAAAATCTTTCTTATTTTAAAAATTACCTTATAAGGTAATGTATATACTGCTTTTTTATTTGTGCATGTGTGTGTGGGTGTGCATGCACTTAAGAGGCCAGAGGTCAACCTCAGGTGCCATTCCTCAAGCATCATCACCTTGCTTTTTTTGAGACAGGGTCTCTCACTGGCTAAGAAGGCTAGGTTGGGTGACTAGTGAGTCTTGTCTCCACTTCTCTGGCCATCACATCTGGCTTTAAAGAAGAATAAGGGCTGGGAAATTTCTAGGGAATCAAACTTAGGTCCTTATGCTTCTAAGCACTAAAGCTCAATTCACCAACTGAACCATCGGTAGCTCTGGGGTCTATTTTAATCTGCTTTATTCACCTTATAGAGCCAGGACAAAGTATATGGGATGAGTGACATGAAGAAAAGGTAAACGATAAATCTCTCTAGAGAATAGCATAAAAGCGGACCCCCTTCCAGGCCCAAATTAGGAAAGTTACCAACAGTCAGAACCTGCCAGTTGGGTTAGGAATGTAAAACATTTCTAGAGTGGTCTGTGAAGCCTTGCTCTAATAAAAATGCAGGTCTAGACACAAGAGTCAAATGTCTGCCACTAATCAAAACACTCGCTGAACACCAATAAATGTAAAACAATTTTGCCATGGTGCTTTTGCCAAATACAGATACTACTGCCACTAACAAGTGAAGACAGCAATTGCTATAATCCATCTATACCAACATTCATGTATCTAATTGTTTTCATCTAACTTGCAGCTTTAACACTGTCACCTCTGGAAAATGAACCCATCAGGAAAGAAGGAAAAAGCAAACTTCTTACAGGCTTCCACACAAGATTTGATAAGGGGAGCTACTTTTAGGCAGGTGCTCATTTAACTGCATATCCGGCAAGCAAAGCACCATGAACAGGTTCTTGAAGATTTAAATTAGCAGGTGTGCCTAGAACCCTAGGACAATAGTTCTCAACTGGGGATGAAGGTATCCTGCAACCCTCACCCATTGGGACACCTGTCAATGTCCAGAGCCGATTTTTTTACTGCCATAAAAAGTATTTAGTGTCTAGCAGATATAGGCCAAGGATGCTCCTATTTTTTTTTTCCACTGCATGGACAGCTCACCCAGAAAAGAATTTGCAAGCTCCAAATATCAACAGTAGCTGAGAAACTACTGTTATTACCAGGATAACCCCCTACCAGAGTCTCTGATATGGAATGCCACCTGCCTCACAGCACCCATGTTTGCCAATGGCTGCATTCTCCTGCTGCATTTGAAGCTCTGCTATTTTGTGATCCCACCACTCTGGTTATTTTCTAGTCATTCTTTAGCTTCCTTCCTACCAAGAACTTCCAGCATCTCACAGTGCTCCCTCAACATGCTTCTTTGATTATCTTTCTGGACGCTGATGATCCACCTAGTCTAGTCTCTACTGAGAATAAACTATGTGAAGACTGGAGTGATGTCTCAAGATCCACCAATTCAATGTCCTAGCACCCTTCCCACCCAGAGCAGGGGCTCACTAAGTAGTTGTATAGACATTTGAGTGCCTATCCTGTCATGCTCTGTTAAGACACCAAATCCCATTTCACTAAAAGACCTCAAAAGTTGGCACTACTGTTATACAGCTAAGAAAGCCAACTCTGAGAAGATACCTACAAGATCTCAAAGACAGCTAGTCATGATGGCACACTCTTGCAATCCTAGCACTCTGGAATCAGAGGCAGTAATAGTGCTGAGTTGGAGGCCAGCCTAGATTACAGGGTGGGACTGCCTCCGCCCCCCCCACCCAAAGCAAGTTGGATTCAAAGCCTGGGGCAGCACTTTTTAGGACATGGCTGTACCTCCCACACTAATTCTGGAGCCAAGTTTGAATCCGGGAAGAGCTGGAAGGGACTGGGAGAGCTTTAGGACTCTACTACTGCAAAGAAAGACAATTTTCCTGATGAGGCAATCGTGTTAATCACTAACAGACCTGCACATTAAAAATTTGTAAGTTCTGCCTTTAAATCTAGGAGTGTGCTATAGGGAGAGTCTAAGTGCCTGAGAATTCCCCATTAAGCAGCCAGTCACTGCTAACCCTCTAGACAACCTTAGAAGTGTATGATGAAAAAAAATCCCACTAAATGACCTTTGTGTGACACCCTTTCAGGACCAAGAACTTCAACAGGGAAGACCCCAAAGTCTCCCTTACATAGCAAGCTCCCTGGAAATGCCTTCTTTTGGAAGGTGGGTGGATGGATCTTTTTGATCCACTTACAGCAGTCCTCTTGCCTCAGCCTCAAGAGTGCTGAGCATTTAGGCATGCAAGACCAGACCCAGCTGAAAATGAAAATCCCTCTTAAAAACATTTGTCAGCCGGGCGTTGGTGGTGCATGCCTTTAACCCCAGCACTCGGGAGGCAGAGACAGGCGGATCTCTGTGAGTTCGAGGCCAGCCTGGTCTACAAGAGCTAGTTCCAGGATAACCCCCCAAAGCAATACAGAGAAACCCTGTCTCGGAAAAACAAACAAAAGTTTTGTCAAGACATCTAGCTGGAAGCACCATACACGTATGGGACACTTAAACAGTTTAGTCTAGGCCTCATTTTGGGGATTATTAAAGTACATTAACTAGGCTTACCTCTTTTTTTAGGGCTGGAAGAAGACAACCCCCGAATAAAATTTCATTTCATATAAAGCCCAACAGTGTTCCAGGAGATGAATTCCCTGCTGGCCAGGGCACTGAACTAATTCTTAGCAGTATCTGGGGCCCCAACTGGCCAAGGGCCTAAGATGTGGTCACCAAATCACAAGGCCAAACACCAGGTCAACAGACCAGCTGTATTTTGTTTTACTGGATCCCAGTAACGGCTATGGCATTTCTACAAAGTGCCTACACAGGCCCAAAAATAAGTGTTTCTGGCTAAACCGCTCAACCCCAAGGAAGTCATTCTTCCCGAGAATAGACAAATCTGTACCAAAAACAAAACCCCCAAGCCAAAAAACCTCAAGGACTCTGCCCATTTTCTGTTAAGTAATCCACCATACTTTGTTAGACCACAAACAACGGGACAGAGAAAACTTTGAGAGAGACAACAGACCAGGGAAAATTTTTAGATAGTTAAGCACAGGTTTTCTTTCTTTTTAAGATATGGAAATGAAGTCCAAAACCGAAAGTAATTTGCTTAAAACCACATGAAAAACACAAAGCCTTGAATTCCATCTCTAGGCCCCACAAAAACCCGACCGGTGTAAATCTGTAATCCCAGCACTTGGGAGGTGGTGGCAGGAGGATCACATTCAAGATCATCTTTCTTTATGTAGAAAGAAGAAGGCTATCCTGGACTACCTGAGACACTGCACCCCCCCCCATCAAAACGCAAAGCAAGCACCACATATTTGGAAAACGGGAGTCCTATGACAGCCTTCAGAAAATGGTTAGCCTCCCAGAATGAGGCTTTTTGAGACAGGGTTTCTCTGTATTGCTTTGGGGGTTGTCCTGGAACTAGCTCTTGTAGACCAGGCTGGCCTCGAACTCACAGAGATCCGCCTGCCTCTGCCTCCCGAGTGCTGGGGTTAAAGGCGTGCACCACCAATGCCCGGCAGAATGAGGCTTTTATAGATGAATTCTTAGGTAAACTATTATGACCACTTTAAACCTGCCTGCAGGTACAGAATTCGATATTGGCCTCAGCCCTCTAAGAGTTTTAGACACAAGATTCCTATGGTCTGCACGAAAAAGGATGAGGCTTTTTCGTAGCATAACAAGAACAGGCTCCCATCAGCTGTGGCTTCCAGGACCCGGCTGGAAAGGTTTAGGCGGCAAGGTGCAGGGCCAGCCCCTCCTCCCAGGTGTGTTACCTGAGCACAGTCACGCTCCCCCTGCGCACCGGCAGAGAAAGCACAGGTTCCGACACCCGGATGGGCTTGAACTGGAACTTGCAGCCGAAACAAAGTGCCGAGTCGCTAAAGAAAGACACAGACACGATCGGGCGCTCGAAGATGTGGATGGGGTCTACGTGAGAGACGATGCAGCCGCCAGGCTGGTAGTCGTTGATGACTGCGCTGTTGACGAAGCCCTCGGGGATAACGCGGTGCTCCACCAGCTTCTGGATCACCAGCTGATGCACCCATTCGGGGATCTCATCGACGTCGCCCGGCGGATAGAGGCGCTCCTGGCCCGGCCCGCGCTTTTGCAGCTGGGCGCCGTACGTGTAGCCCTCGCCGAAGAAGTACTTGTTGCGCAGGGGGGCCCGGTCCACGGTGTGCTCGTTGTACAGGCCTTTCTCGGCGCGGGACACCACCTCGTCGATGCGGGCCTCGATCTTGGAACACTCATCCTGGCTGAAGAGACGTATCTGCCGGATTCCGCTCTTCACCTTGCGCGCCTCCTCCTCCTTCTGCAATTGCTGCTCCTCGTAGTCGCTGCGTTCCGGGTCCGAGTCCTCCTGGTATTTCCGTTTGGTGGTCCCGGATACCGGGTAAGGCTCGGCGGCGGCGGCGGCAGCCGCGGCAGCGGCCACAGCGGCGGCCGCAGCGGCGGCAGCTTCCCGGCTGCCAGCCTTGTAGTTGTCCCGGGACGTCATGGACTTGAGCTTCTCACGCAGGTCTGTGTAGCCGCCGGCGGCCGCCATGGCCCCCGCAACTCAACTCTAGGGTCCTCCAGGGCGGCCCGGCATGGCTCTTGGGGGACGCGCCCGGGGACCCGAGGGGAAAGCGAGGGTCCTCAGTGCCAGGTCGCCATGCCTGGCCCAGGGAACCAGCGGGGGGGCGTAGGGGGGGCCAGGAAAGGGTCGAACCTCAGCAGCGGCCGGTCATGCAGCACAAGCGACAGCCAGGCTTCCTCCTCCTCCACCTTCTCCACGTCCCGAGGAACAGGGGCGCCGGCAGCGCCTCATACCGTGGAGGCTCCCCGTGAAAACTCGGCCAGACTCTGGGTCAGACCTCAGACGCCCGGCCCGGCCCGCACTTTAAAGCTCTCCTCACGACGTCACCGCCTGCCCGCCCGACCTCCGACAGCGCCGCTCCTTAGCGGGCTTCGCGGCGCGCAGGCGCAATGCAATCGGCCACGAGACTCCGCGCACTCTGAGCATGCGCGTGCGTGCGGCCCGGTCGGCAAAGGTGCCGGCGCAAGCGCACACGAGGCCCGCTCGTCGTCCGCCGCCCCTCCCCCACCCGCCGAAGACTTCGAGAGAACAGCTCTCAAACAGCAATTTGCCTTCACGCCACGCCGCCTCCGGGACCAGGGGACTCCACCCGCTGGGGGGTGCTCGCGGTGTCAGCTCTGCGGCGCTGCCGCGTCACGGCATCGTGCGGACGCCCGCAGACGCCTCCGCTTCCAGCGCTCAATCATCGGGAAATCACCACAGCCCCATCCGCCCCGTGACCGCCCCCTTTGGCGCTTCCACTTTCTTAATTGGACTGCCGGCCACGCGTTGGGCAAACACAGACCGGAGTTTCTACAGTCGGTTGGTAAATCATGCCTGTCAATCAGCTAGTCTCCTTGGCTACTGCGTCCATCGCTTAATTAGCTTCGGGCAGCAGCTCGAGGACCCCTGAAGGGTGAATAGGTGGCTAAATAAGTGCCTGAATGGAGTTCTCGGAGGAGGAAATCCCTGTGGACTCCTGAGAAGCTTCGGAAACAGTACGAAAGTTTTCGAATTGAGGGCTGGAGAGCATCAGACCCAGACTCCGGAGCAAACCAGGACAGCAACAGAAGCTGGAGGCGCGCAGCTGGGACATCCCACACCCTATTCCCCGCCGCCATCGCTTCCTGGAGCGGACGTTCCACAAGTCACGTCCCGGGACTGCCCGGCGTGCGCGCAGCCGTGGGCACGCACGCGCACGGGCGTATCTTGTCTCTGCTGGGGGTGGGTTTTGGGAGCCCTGTTATAGGGCTCACACGGACGCAGGATTACCATGGATTAGTCCAAATTGGATATTTACTTCAGACACTTAAAACCTTTGAACAGCGGTGGGTAAAGTGCGCCTGCAACCTCAGCACTGTGGAGGCAGAGGTTGGAGAATAGCCCACAAGTTGGAGGCCAGCCTCGGCTACATGGCGAGCCTCTGTCTCAAAAACAACCACAACAAACTCTAGCAGAGGGCAAGGCCTGAACAAAGGTGTGGCCATGCTGGAGGCCCCTGAGCAAATGGGTTTCTGCTCTTGATGAAATCCAGCCGCTCTGCGTGGTTCCCGGTGCCTTTTCCAGGCTGAGCTGCTTCCTCTTTAGAACCCCGTCCCTCCTGACCTTTTCCCGTGCTGTCTATTACCTGTAATGCCTGTCCACCTCCCATGCCTTTCGTTAGGTTCACCTCTTGTCTTGAAACCATCCCAGATTCTTGTGTGTAACACCAGGAACCAGTACTCACCTCAAAAAGTGGTTGTGAGGATGAAATGGAGCAGCAGCAGGATTGCTGATAGAGGATCTGAACCTCAGTTTCCTAATCTGAAAACGGAGGGTGGCAGCAGTCTATGGGAAAGTGGGGACTGTGTGGTAACTTTCCAGGACGCTGGGGATCCAGGCCACCCTCTCTCCCGAGCAACAGGCAGATGAAGGGAAACGGGACAAGCGCACTGGAGATTCCTGGTGCCACCCCATGGACCCAGGTGATGAAGTGAGGGGGAAGGACACCCGCAGGTGGTAAGGAGGTGGACTATCGGGCCAGGCCAGCTGACCTGGGCTCTGGCAGAACCCTGCCTGATTTGTACTGTGTGAACACCTGGTGTGCCTCTCCTGAGCACGAGGCAGTTTAGCCAGAGGTCCAGAGCTCTTTAGAAGCCCAGTTCTCTGAGCCTGTGATGTGCGGTTTACAGCTGCGTGGTGGGAGCTCTTTACCTAACAGCTACTCTCAGAGTGACCCTCCATGGCTGTGGTAGTGCACATTTAAACCCAGCAGGGTTGGTGGTGCAGGGACAGTTCTCTTAGAGTTCAAGGCCAGCCAGGGCTTCTTAGTGAGACTCTGCCTCAGAAAAAGAAGGGAAAAGTAACTTTTCTATAGGGGCCTCTCCAGTCCCAGGTAACTGGAGTGTGTTTCCTCCTGGACTGTGCTCTGGGGGGGGGCACACTCACAAGTCCAATACTGTCAACTCTCCAGCAGCCAGCACTTTTACAGTTATATCAGCCTCATTGGAGGATTTTAAGGACCAAATGAGTTGCAGGAGGATTGGCACATCGTACAAATGATTTTTTTTTGTTTTTTTGAGACAAGGCATATACATGCATATACATACATCTAATACATATATATGTATATGTATATATAAAATCTGAGGATGCCTTTGAACAGACCCTCCTGCCTTTGCCTCCTAAACTTACCTTTTTGTATGTGTGTTCATGTGTGTGAAGTACATGGTGTGTAGGTACATTGTGTTCATGTGTGAAGTACATGGTGTGTAGGTACATTGTGTACATTGTGTGAAGTACATGGTGTGTAGGTACATTGTGTGTGTACATTGTGTGAAGTACATGGTGTGTAGGTACATTGTGTTCATGTGTGTGAAGTACATGGTGTGTAGGTACATTGTGTTCATGTGTGTGAAGTACATGGTGTGTAGGTACATTGTGTTCATGTGTGTGAAGTACATGGTGTGTAGGTACATTGTGTTCATGTGTGTGAAGTACATGGTGTGTAGGTACATTGTGTTCATGTGTGTGAAGTACATGGTGTGTAGGTACATTGTGTTCATGTGTGTGAAGTACATGGTGTGTAGGTACATTGTGTACATTGTGTGAAGTACATGGTGTGTAGGTACATTGTGTTCATGTGTGTGAAGTACATGGTGTGTAGGTACATTGTGTTCATGTGTGTGAAGTACATGGTGTGTAGGTACATTGTGTACATTGTGTAAAGTACATGGTGTGTAGGTACATTGTGGGTATGCATATTCAATGTCAACCTTGGATGTTATTACTACAGTGCTTGCTGCACACCGTATTTTGAAACAGGGTCTTCAGCTGGTTTGGAACTTGCTAAGTAGACCAGGCTGGTCTTTCTGGTAGACTAGGCTATTCTGTCTTTGCCTTCCCAGCTGCAGGTTTACAATTGTGCACTTCTTTTCTAAACTTTGATTCTGGGGATTGAAGTCAGGTTTACCAATTGAACCCTCCCCCAAGCTCCTAAAACTACCTTTTTTTTTTTTTTTGGTTTTTCGAGACAGGGTTTCTCTGTGGCTTTGGAGGCTGTCCTGGAACTAGCTCTTGTAGACCAGGCTGGCCTCAAACTCACAGAGATCCGCCTGCTTCTGCCTCCCAAGTGCTGGGATTAAAGGCGTGCGCCACCAACGCCCGGCCTAAAACTACCTTTTAAAACAATGTAGCGCAGGAGAGATGCTCAGTGTAAACTGCCTGCCATGTAAAACATGAAGACAAGTTCAAATCCCCAACAGCTATGTAACCCCAGCAATGAGGCAGTGGAGTGTTGATGGGAGGTTATGGAGACAGCCAGATCCCTGGAGTTCATTGGCCAGATAGCCTAATTGAATTGGTGAACTCCCTGTTCAATGAGACCCTGTCTCACAACATTGACATGGAGAGTAATCAAGGAAAACGCTTGACATTGACCTCGGGCCTCTACATACACATACACCTGTTATCATATGTGCGCGCACGCGCGCGCGCGCGCACACACACACACACACACACACACACACAAAACAACAACAACATGTCTATCCCTAACACCCATAAATATCATATAATAGAAATATTGATGAACACTTAGAATATAGTTGTCCCAAGCAAAACTCAGAGGGCAAGCAACCAGTCAGTAAGCAAATGGATTTGAACACAGACCCCTCTGCCTCTTCAGTGTGGGCCTTCAACCACCCAGAGGCCATTCCCTTAAGAGGCTGCCGAGTCCTGAGCATGAGAGAGCTAGAGGTGTATGTCAGCCTGAAATTAGGGCAAGCCCAGTCACTTGTTCCACGGGGAGGAGAAACAGCAAAGAGGTCGTTTGGGTTATTTCCATGTCCTGAATTATGATGTGCACTGCTGCGCTTGCCTGAGCACCAAGCTTCCATGAATTTCTTACTGTAATCTTCCATGCTGCCAAGTTATCTCTCCTCTATTGTCCCACATTAGGCTGGAGCTTCCTCTGTCCTGGGCCTCACCAGATCAACCTGTGTCCTAGAACCCTAGCTAGGTGTGTTGAGGGCATGAAGGAAAGACAGACACAGACACACATACACTAAAGCTCAGGTCAGGTGGGATTACCAAGGAATATTTTTGTAATGTTAGCCTGAAAAACAGTCTGATCATAGCCTTTTATATTTTTAAGATGAGCTGACATAATTGGACCACATCCTTGCTATCATTGTGGGTTCAAACACCCAGGAGGTCCCAATTCCCAGTTATATCTATTCTCTCTCTGTCTCTGTTTCTCTCTGTCTCTCTGTCTCTCTCTCTCTTGGTTTTTTGAGACAGGGTTTCTCTGTGTAGCTTTGGAGCCTGTCCTGGAACTCACTCTGTAGACCAGGCTGGTCTTAGACTCACAGAGATCCACCTGCTTCTGCCTCCCGAGTGCTGGGATTAAAGGTGAGCACCACCAACGCTAGGCTCCCAGTACCTTTTTTAAAAAGTGCTTAGCTACATCTTGAAGGGGCCTCTTTCGTTTTTTTTTTTCATTTTTGTAAATTTTCTTTAAAAGACTTGTTAGTGTTTTAAAAAAGCTTTGTAAGTACTCTCCTGTCTCAGGGTCATCTGTAAGGTATTCTATAACTAGCAAAAGGCAGCATACAAAGTTTGGATTAAAACAAATTATTATTATTATTATTATAAAAGCTACTGAGTAGCCGGGCGGTGGTGGTGCACACCTTTAATCCCGGCACTCGGGAGGCAGAGGCAGGCGGATCTCTGTGAGTTCGAGGCCAGGCTGGACCGACAGCCTCCAATACAATACAGAGAAACTCTGTCTCGTAAAACAAAACAAAAAAGCTACTGAGTTATTTATTCAGGTTGTTCAAAAGCCAGGTAGTATTTAAAGCTACCAAGGTTTTTTTTCCTTTGGCTATAAGCCTCTCTTGATGTCATGCTACAACCAGCAGACTACACCTGATCCTGCCCACCTGCTAGCCACCTGAAGCTGCCATGGTGTTGCCTACAGGAGCAACACTGTCTGCCT